AAAAAAAAAAAATCTTTAAATAAAAAAAAAAAAGAATCTATTTTGTCTTTTTGTCTTTGACAGCAAAAACTATTTAATGTCCCTTATACCCCTTTTTGCTTTGACTGCCAGGAAACTCAGGGACAAAGTCACAGTCTGCTAAAATCTGTTTAGGCCTTTTGGCCTGCATATTTGCTTTGTCTTCTCTATCCTTCCACCCCATTTCGACTTTCTAACTTAATGGTTTTTTAAACTAATTTTTCCCCCTCGTCTCATATGAAAATTTTCTTGTATTTAGTGTTGCTATTTAAGATGCCTTAAACCTATTGTGGGCTGGAATTGTACATAAATAAATAAAATAGCTTCAGTGTTCCTTTCTTAAATATAGCTCAATAAATATATAAATACACTTGTACACAAATACATAGTAACAGCGACTTACAGTGGGGTTCTGTTTCCAATTATTTTTTTTGCTAAGATTAACTTTTAACCTTAAATGTTCTCTAATAGAAATAGACAAGGTACTGTCTCAGAACACAAGAGTTTATTTAACATAAAATACAGCCATGAAATTTTATTTACTTATTTATTTGTTGCTATGAAACTTTAGAATAGAATAGACAGCACCTGCCATTTGCACCTTAAATTTTGAACAAGAATAGGTTGAGTTTCAATGGAAGCAATTAAGAATACATTTATGGCATTCCCTCCCATTGCTCTCACCCCAGTCCAGCCCTGGGACCAAGAACTTTCCCTAGATTTTCTGTCCTCCTTCCTTCCTTCCACCTCCTTCCTTCCTTCCACGGATACCATCAGGAACTCCTGTGATGATTGCTGACCTGAAGCAGTGTATTGAGAGTAAGGGGCCCCTAGCACTTCCACGGGCTCAGGGTCTGAAGCCGTGATCAAAACTTGACAAGGCAAGGGGGCAGGTCCAATGAGCATTCCTGATGAAGTTGTGAAAAGGACCCGGGACTCTGGGAGGATGGGTGCAGAGATATCTGCTTATGAGGGGTTTTAGAATAGGAGACAACTGGGAAAAAAGAGGTGGAGTAGTTCTGATACCCTGCAGAAGGTCTCTTGTCAAGACCCGTATTTGTTCAAACCTACCTGGTTGGTGTCACTTCAAGTGGGAGTTAACCCTGTGACACCAGTTTTTCTGGTCCATTTAGCTGCTTAGCCATTGGGCTTTTTCTTCTTCCTCCCACCAAGCTTATATGCCATTTATTTATTAACTCTCTCCTTGTGATTTTCTTCTTACCATATTTGACAGTCTCATAAATTCTGATAAAGCCTGCGGGATTTTTGGGAGATGATTTGTTTCTGGTTTCACTTCCTTTAAAATGTAGGTTATCTTCTTTGTCTGTCTTGGTTTTTCGATCAGTTGCTTTGTCTACCTTCTATAGACTTAACAGTGTAAATTTAATCTTCTAGGTTAGAGAGAGCAGCAAGCAAGGAAGAGCCTCTACCTTGAATTTGAGACATAAGTTACTTTGATAAGAGGATTTTAAAAATTCCCTTTTAACCACAGAACTCCGTTGGAAAGAACTTTGAAAGAAATGAAGAAAACCATCACAAATCAAGACAGCAGCCTCATGGCCTTTTATTGACTAGAGTGGAGTTTTATTACTGCAGTGTTTTGGAAGGACACTGTGCAGGATGTCTACTGAGGTCATTCATCAGGTTGAAGAGGCACTTGATGAAGACGAGAAGAAAATGCTTCTTTTTTTGTGCCGGGATGTGGCTGCAGATGTTGCTCCGCTTAATGTCAGGGACCTTCTGGATATTTTAAGTGAAAGAGGAATGCTGTCTGCCATGGGCTTGGCCGAGCTGCTCTACAGAGTGAGGCGGTTTGACTTGCTCAAGCGGATCTTCAAGATGGACAGAAAGGCAGTGGAGGCCCACTTGCTCAGGCACCCTCGCCTTATTTCGGACTATAGGTAATTCATCAGCAATTCCCAAGGCTGGACCTGGTGGGAGGGAGGGAGGTGGTCTAGGCTTATGAACAACAGAAATGAGGACAGTAAGAAAAAGCAGTGATGTTACCTTCTTTACCCATAGATTCAACTGCCTTATGATGTTACTTCATTCCTTTGAAGTCTTTGAATTCTTAGAACATGTTTGTTTAAGTAATTGGATAGAAGATCATAAAGAAAGTGGAAGGGCTGGGTAGCATGATGGATAGAATGATCTGGATAAGAATGACTAAGAGCTAGTAATTCTTGCCATCCTCTGACTGTGAGATCTGCGGTGGTCTTTCCTGGCTTATTTTCTGTGATGTCAGACTGACAGATTCTGAGAAAGGAAATAACAAGTCTGACGGTGGTCTTCCTGACTTTTGTAGAGCTCTGTGATCCCTCCTGAGTCCCCTTTGGTCTTTCCCCTGCTGAGGAGGTTAGTGAGGTGGGCTCCCTTTCTGTGAGTTCCAGTGAGGTCCTTGCCCCCAGAGGCTCGATGGGCCAGGGGTGCAGAACGAACATCCCATCGATTAACCAGCTGTAGGCCCCCTTCAGTTCAGAGAGGAATGGTCCCTGGAGTCCCCTTTAGTTCAGACCGTCTTTGAGTTTTTCCTTCCTCCTGCTTACATACTACTCTCTTGGAGGTTCAGGGGAGCACAGCAGCCCCAACAAAGGCTGCATTTCTGGAGAAAGGAAGATACCTTGTAACCTTAAATTAATGGTTCCTTTTTCTCCAGACCACCAGCCTTAAGTTATATCAATGATGCATAATTTGAAGAAGATGTGTATTATCAAGAACTATTTTAAGGAGAGTTGAAAGGAGCATAGGCCTTGGAAAGTGAAACTTGAGGTCTAGAGGCCTGTTTCAAGTCCCAGAACTACCAGTTACAGGCCACAAAGGCTGAGCCAGCCACTAATATTGCCTGGGACTTCCTTTTCCTACTTGTAAAGCTAAAAATAGTGAAACCTGATTTCACAAGTTTGTTGGTGTAATTGTAATAATTTAGTATGTGGAGTACTTTTAAAACTGTGAAGCCATCTACAAATGCAGGGGTTCATTATTATTGTAGTTATTCTCGATCATCTTCCACCTCCTCAGCTATCATGTAATGTCAGTAATGTTCTTAAATGTTCAGAGGCAGTGGGTTTCAGTGAATAGGTTAGGGCACTCTCCATTTCCTGTCTCCTTGCTATGATGAGTGTAGACAGTTCCTCAGGGCCTCTGGGCAGAGAGGCTGGGTAGTGGGATGCTAGCTAGATTCATCGATGCATCTGTTCAGTGGCCTTTCTTTTGGGTCAACATATACCAGGTGTTTGGTAAGCGCTAGAGCAAAATGAACGAAGCATCTTCTGTCCTCAAGAATTTGAGAGCCTAATTGGGAAAACAGCCTTCTAAGCAGTAATGACAATGTCCAGGCAATAATGCCAACCACAGGTGTCCTGGGAGCCCAGATAAAGTGTGATGGTGGCTCCCACTGGAGCAGAGGTGACTGAATCAGGAAGAGCTTTCTAGACAAAGACATCTGTGGTCACAGTCCCCAGTCCCCAGGCTCTAGATGCCTTTCACCCTTTGAGTTCGAGAGTGGGCCAGGACATCCCAGGTATAACTTTGCTTTAGAAGCTTGTGACTCAAAGTATGGTCCCTGGGTCTGCAGTGTCAGCATCCCCTGGGAGCTTGTAAAACAGAGAAGACAAGATCACTTCGAATTCTATTTCTGTCTTCCATCTTAGTCATATATGTTCTTCACTTATATCATCATAACATCTGGGGGAAATAGGGGATTCTTTAGGGAAGTTTTCATTCTCTGAGTTGTTTTTAGAGCAGTTAGTTAGAAAGAAAGGTACTGTTTCCTATTGAAAGTAGGGGAAGGATGAATTTCCTTTTTGAGTTTTGTTAAGATATCTTCGTGAGGAGGCCTAGGCTTTCTGTTTTATGGGGGTGTATATCAGATGGGGGCCTGAACTAGCCTTTTAACCAATTATTGGCACAGTGGAGGCATCGGCTCTTGTTTTTCTCACTAGGATGGTATCTGAATTTACTGAAAATAACTTGTCTGGTTTACAGGGTGCTGATGACAGAGATTGGTGGTAATTTGGAAAAATCTGATCTGTCCTCATTATTTTTCCTCATGAGGGATTATACTGGCCGAGAAAAGGGAGCCAAGGATAAGGTGAGTTTTCTTTTTCTTGGTTCATGTTCCCAAGAGCCTATCAGAAGGTGGGGGGTGATCTCTAGGGTGTGAAGAGAGGGATGTGGGTCCTTGAAGAGGGAGGCCCAAGCTGGGGGTGAAGGTAGGAAGCGAGAAGAGAAAGGTCTGTTTCTTAATAACATTAATAAGAAGAGAATTGGTTTCTCAATTGACAGGAAATAGGGTGGCCTTGGGTGTTTCTCTCATCCTTGTATTTTATTCTTATTTCTGTAAAAGTCAGAGGCCTGATTTAGGTATCAGTTTCTCTCCCCCGTTTGACAGACCATCTGGGAGGGTTTGGAAGTCCCATCTGCTCACACTGAGGGCAAACAGGTGGGAAGTACGGGTCCACTCCCGACGGCATCTATTTTCCCCCAGCTAGCTCAAGGCCAGTGTGAAGTCATTAGGCTCCGTGTGGAGATGAGGTGGGGGAAGGTACTTGTGACTCATGTATCCAGGGAATGGCAAAAACAGAGATTCAGGGTTGGAAGCTAGGTAGCAGTCAAGATCTCAGGGATGTTGTAATTGCTGGCAAAGTATTTAAATTCCTCCTGGCCCCATGTGATACTCCTGGCCTAAGGACAGGCCAAGAAAGTCTCAGGTCTCTAGATTATGAAAATATGTTCTTAAAGGACCTGCCTTTGAGGACTCTGGTAAGGTGTGGCTTGAGAATTTCCTCTTGTTCTTTAATCATTGGAGTTTGGTTCCTGAAATCTAGGCAGATAGGGTGACTGGATGCACCCCCAACCATCAAATGCATCAAATGGGAAGGAAAATGAAAAAATAGAACTTCTATTTGGTGTCCCCAAATCAACTTATCTGCCAGTCGTTTATATCAATTTCTTGATGATGATTATTAAAAAAAAAAAATCAAAAATAGAGCCTCAGTAATCAAATGTTAAACTGAAGGGAAGTAAAACCCAAAGCAAAGCCTATTTCTGAAATGTAGTTCTTTCCTAATCTCTTTGGTCTAGGGCAAGTGAGTAGCAATATACCCTAACTTTTAAATTTTGCCCCCTCAGACCTCCTGAGTCAGAATGAGTTGGAATGTCCCGCGTTGACTAAAATATTTTAGGAACTTCAGAATTACATCATTGGGATTTTTCTAATAGAAACTTGCCCCCAGCTATCTTCTCTCTTCCTTTTTTAGGAAAGCCTTTAGACCTTTTCAGTATAATTTCAGCCGGGCCTTTTGGAAGAATGGTACTTTTTTTTTTTTTTATGTTATGTTAGTCATCATACATTACATCATTAGTTTTTGATGTAGTTTTCCATGATTCATTGTTTGCATATAACACCCAATGCTCCATGCAATACGTGCCCTCCTTAATACCCACACCAGGCTACCCCATCCCCTCACCCCCCTCCCCTCTGAAACCCTCAGTTTGATTTCCGGAGTCCATAGTCTCTCATGGTTCCTCTCCCCCTCCGATTTCCCCCCCTTCATTTTTCCCTTCCTTCTCCTAATGTCCTCCATGCTATTCCTTATGTTC